CCCTGTGCCCGCTGCTGGATTGCGGATTTAGCAATCCGGGAAGTCGTGGGTTCGAATCCCACTGCCAGGGAACATTCTTTTTACATCGTTTTTAGTCTTTTAAATATTATTTGAATTTTTGTTATTTAATTATAGTTATTGTGGCCTTTTTAATTTAAGTTAAACCCCAAAAAATTTTATTAATAATGAAATAATTATATGAAATACCATAAACAAAAGAAAGATAATAAAACAAAATTTAATAAACTAAAATAAAATGTTTATACTAAAATAAAAAAAACAAATTTTGGAATCGCTCGGAGTGGGGACCGAACCTGGGTGCTATTGCGTTTACTATTTCAACAACAAAACAAAACTTAGAACCTTATTTTACCATTTTAAAACCGCGTTCTCCTCATCTTAAAGTTAAAATTCTGTTTCTGCCATAAAATGCATTTTAAGTTGACTATGAAAGAGTTCAAATGGCGATGACAATAAAACACAATTTTAATCGTTAAAACTTTTTTCTAACTTCTCTATGACTACTGGCCATTGTATTTATTTACTGAATTTTCATACTTACCAATATGTGTTCAAGTTGCAATATGTTTCAGCTGTCCGAAAAAGAAATGTAAACAAAGCGCAAAGGGTTGCCGTAGTGTGACGTGTGGCTGCTCAAAAATCCCTCAATATTGTTAATGGCAGCACTGCTGAATACCGATTGCCAATCGGCAGCCATTATTTTATTTACACACATCGTATTTTTCCCTATTCGAGAGTAGAGTAGTGGTGGAAAACTATCGATGGCACTATCGATACTAGAAACAATTGCGTTGATCAGGCAACACAGCGCTTAGCAAAAATTACTAACCACATATCGAAGAAAATTATCGCTGGGCAGTCTACTCGTTAATTACACTATGCCACAGTCAAAATCGGGATGGGATGAAACCAACGGGAAATGTTATATCGGTCAAAAACAAGTTATACGTGGCCCGGCGTTTCGCTGGGTCACGTCTAGGAATCGAGATATATCGATTTGAAGTTAGTCACCTTTGGTGGTCTTTTTTTTTGACATAACTCGAGAACCACTAGTCCGATTTTGCTCAAACCAATTTAAAAAAATTAAAAATTACAATTCCTTTAATCTGTTAATATAACTTTTTTCTATATACTCAACAGAAAAATATTTTTCTTCATACATTTATTTTTACCGGCAAAACTGTTGATTATATAGAAAAACGTTATATGAACAGATTAAAGAAATTGTAATTTGTTGTAATTTTTTTAAATTTATTTGAGCAAAATCGGACTAGTGGTTCTCGAGTTATGTCAAAAAAAAGACCACCAAAGGTGACAATTTCCCCTATATGATAGTTACTAACTTCAAATCGATATATCTCGATTCCTAGACGTGACCCAGCGAAACACCGGGACACGTATAACTTCTTTTTTACCGATATAACTTTCCCCGGTAGTTTGAACCCTTCCCGATCACTGACCCCTACCATTTGTCTCACAGTGTTATCAGTGTAGGGCGCCTGTCACACGTTCAATATTTATTGTGATATTTGGATCGTGATCCATATTGATTGATTTCAAAAATGTGATCGATAGCGCGGGAATGTTCAATATTTATCGCGTCACTATTGGCATGTTTTTGTGTCGAGAAGTTTAAAGTCCAATTGATGAAGCTTGGAAATCTTATCTTAATGTTATTTTATTAAAAATCATCTACAATTTTTATTATATGTATGGTAATGCCACATCTAATTTGTTCGAAATGCATGTGATTGATATCACGAAATATGCCACACTTTCAATACTTATTGATAGATCTTTGATTCATATGTAGAGGATATGAACAGCAATTACTGCGATGTATTTGGGCGCTTTAGCGCTTCGGTATATGCACTTAAGCCGAATTTTTAAATAATTTTTTTTTGTTCTGCGGCTAAGATCCCGTTCATAACACAATAGCTAAAAGCGCGTTTTTATGAAAAGTATATTTTTAAACGCGTGCGTTGCAATAAAATTTATGTGTTGTTATTTTTTTTATATTCTTCTTTATACATGTACGTATTCGGAGATTGAATAAAAATGTATTTATATAAGTATGTGAATGTATCCAGTTATTATATGAGGCCTTGAGCGCTAGAGCAGCTTAACTGGCATTTCAAAAAAAGTTGAGGTGCACCTTAAATGCTTTACCAGAATCGTAACGGTAATAGCCCGGAGCACGCGCTTTTACTTTTCTTTTACTATAATAAGTAGCATCACGAAGGTGCAATGAACTTTTTAGTAAAAGACCGCTTTATTTTTTATAGATCCTTCTTTCTTACATTACTAAAAAATGTTTGTAAAATGAATTTCTATAGTTTTCTTTTAATACAACTATTTATTGGTCAGAAAATTTTTTGTCAGCTATATCATTCTAACTATAATATTCCACATAAATATGTGCCATATTCATATATTAGCATAACTCGCTTAGCTTAAAAAAACTATCGGAAACTATCGATAGTTAATTTCAGACTATCGTTAAGTATCGATAGTGCCGACTATCGATAGTTTTCCAACACTAGAGTAGAGATGAAACGATACGAGTAAATACAAGTACATACTCGATACCTTTCGTTCGATACCAAGTAATTTTGGCATCGATAATTTAGAGCCAAGTACTGAATAGGTATCGAAGAAAAGTACTCGTATCGAAACCCGATACCGAGTTAAGTTTTGCTCCGAAATTTTTTCCTCTACGTTTATGCCTCATATGAATCGCCCGGTGCTTTTTGGTAACTTAAGTGCCGGCGAAAACCGCGAGAAAGCGCGAAAGTCGACATATTGCAAAGTATACACGATCCAATTGCTTCATAAAAGTCGAGGGTTTGCAACGCTTACACGGCCAATTATTCCATTGGAAGTGTGAAGTGGATGAATGGTCAGTACAGACGTTTTAACGCGATCTAAAATTCACTGAGTAACTCTATTATTCTTCGCGGTGTAAACATTAGCGAGAAATAATAAAGGTGGGGGCAAATAGCTATGTTATTGAAGAAAATAAATAAAGAAATAGTTGGCGTTCAACGCAAGCCTGTCTCTGTTATGTACTTATGATATACTCAACAGTTGAGTTTTAGATGATATTTAATATTTTTCTGATCATCTGAGAAAACATGTTGTGTGTACCTTTCACAGCTAATTTATCAAGCCATTCAAAAGGCACGTAATGTAGCTCAGTAATCTCTGATTTTTTTTTTAACAACGGTTGCGCTCAACTGCTGCGCCTTCTGAACGAACCGAATATCTCGCTCCTCCCTCTACTCCATATAGTTCATCGTCGTCTGTTCCATACTTTTCTTCCACAGATCTCACAAAAACGCCCGAAATACTTGAATAAAAAAAACACCATACCACGAAAGGAATATTCGCAGTCAGTGTTCGCAGAATAACCAGAGTTTATTCAATCAAAGAATTCCGGGTCAGCGCAGTCTTTTGACGAACCATTTTCAGATACACAATATCAGTGAATAATGTTTTTATTATGGCTTTACAACAAAGGTGGACAATTTTTGCTCGCGAGCAACGCCAGCACTGCAGTTCGTATACGTATACAGAAGCAAAGCAGCGAATTTCGATTCAGTCTGCTTGCAGATTTCACCAAGATAACATCACGCTCGGCTGTTGATTGTTTTTCTTCGTAATCTTAGCACACGCGTGCCACATTTTTCGGAGGAAATTTACAAAAACCCCACAATGTCCTACGTATTTTTAATATAAGAAACCGTATTTTTCATGCCGTGTGAATTTATAATATAAAATGGGCCGCTTGCTGATTAACGTTCACTACATAATTTTATAATTTCTATAAAAAGGGCACAATTTGCATACTTTAGTTTCGAATTTTTTTTTCTTTAAATCGATAGAGAAATGCAAATGCCCAAAAATACTTAATGAATAATATTTATAAGTTGTACTCTATTTTTAGGACTAAACACCTATTTATATGAAAATAATAAAATCTAAACACCGTAACGATCTGGCCGGCCAGCATTTTAAAGATTTGATTCTAACAAAACGGTGCCCAGGTATTAAACAAATTAGTTACCAATTTAAATTTTACAAGTACTAAATTTTTTGTATGTAAAAGTTTCTATAAACTTATAGTATTAGTAGCTTAAACTTCCAAGATTCACTATTCTACTATACGTATAAGCAAATAGACATTAGAACATTTATATAAAATGTGGCAACCATAACTGAGCGCGACGCACTAATACCACGACAAAATCACACTGTGTTAGTGTGCCCAGCATTGCTTTACAAGATCTAATGCAATATTAACGGCTTAGGCTTTTTGGAGATATCGCTGTCAAAAATTTCAAATCTTTGAAACTTTCGCCGGATGACAAAATTCTTAAGAGTAGCCGATTGCCGCTGATGGGATGTAATCGCGTCACTCATGAAGGTATCCATATTTTGTATTGAAGGCTCCACCTTCGACAGGAGTTCCTGATAGTTTCCATTATTCATCCTTAAAAACATTTAATTTTCTACAGATATTTTTTTTTTCATTCCCTAAGAACGATTACAACCAAATTATGTTTGAACAAACTTAAAACAAGAAAGAAGTTATAAACAAAAACGTGACGCACTCCTTATAGGTACGCATATATGTAAGTAACCAGCGCTGGAAATTCGAACACATGCTGATTATTATAAACAATTATATCGGTACCTTAATACACAAAGGCCCTAATAAACAGATTTTTCGAAACTGCGTTTTGCACAGATTTTGGAAGGATGAATACACGTTCAATAAAAATTTTAAAGTGTTAGTACCAAAAACAACGGAGATAAATGCCACTTTTTAAAAATCCCTACCTGTTTTTGACACTCTTTTGATACTGTTTTTGGCTTCTCCTGTAGCTCTCCTAAAAAATTTGTAGGTTATGGCCTTTGTGAATTAAGGTAACGTTAAGCTAAAGTTCTACGAAATATATATGCATATTATCGGTGCATTTAAAATAGTTTAGCCAATGAATAGCTTGTATGCAATTGCAATTTTATTAGAGGGAAAATGTTTAAAAAGTAAATAGCTAATGGATTTTAATATATCCAATCGACCGGTACCCACTGCTCTTCATGGCTCATTTGGTCTAGTACTTTTACCACTTGTTGAAAGGTACTGTCAAAGTTCTCATTTACAATAACCATGTCGAAATACTTCGCATACCGCCGTTGAACAAACGAGCTTTCCTCCACTGTAGCAATCAAATCATCTTCCTGAAAAAAAAAACTCGTTCAATTTCTATGCTTAAAAAATAAACACAAAAGTGCTTCTGAATATATAGGTACAATATTAACTCTTTAAATAAGAAGATTTATCCCTAGCGCCCTTACATATGAGGCGGCATTATTTTTTAAGTCAGACGGATTTTGTAAAAAAATTATGTCATACCTACGATTCGCTTCAAATTTTTTTAACGGGTTCTATAAGCTGAGGATTTTTTACAAGCTGTTATTTAAGTTACTCATCCCGCGCAAATTTCCAATCGATTTTAAACTAACTTTCGACAAGCTAGAGACTTGAAATTTTCAGCATAGTTCCGATCACGATGACAATGCAATTTAAAATATAAATGAATTCCCTAGATGGTGCAGGCGTCTTGATATAAAGGTGCTCTAAACACTGTAGCTGCCGGCGCAAGTAAATAAATAGTATATTATAGGCGATCCTGCAGGCGAAAAAATTTCAGTTAGTGCAATGTGCTTCTTCTGAATACTTTTAAGGCGATGTGGATAATGCTAAATAGTCTTGTGCCATGGGTTGGTATAGGTAAAAGGAAAATAATTGATAAATAAACGGGAACAAAAACCTTTATTATTCAGCTTTGTACCACGATTGTTTATCAGAAGAAATGGAAAAAGCAACAAAGTGGAAGCGGTAGAAGTTATAGCAGTTATTTCGGATCTCACCACATCTTCTCATCAGACTTTTTTTTCTAGACCTCAGCAGAGATCGTACCCGCATATCGATGTGCAAAGTCCCAAGCGCTAACCCCTGAGCTATGCACACCCCGTAAACGCTTGTTGCTAATTCATTTCCTTATTCAACCTACTGCTATCAAGTGAAGCTGATTTACCGCAATTTACACTTCACAGCATGGTTGTTATTCTTAATTCCATACATGACATAGGAAGGCCCATCACAAACTATTAATTTGTCAATTCTTTTGTGGCTAATTAATATTTATTTCAATAGTGTTATTGAGCTTTATACCACGATTGTTTATTAAGAAAAATGGAAAAAGCAACAAAGTCTAAGCGGTAGCCTAAAACTATACTATGGATCTATTTCATGTATGGAATTAACAATACAACCATGCTGTCAAGTTTAAATAGCGGCAAATCAGCTTCACGTGATACATAGTAGTACGTTGAATGAGGATATGAATTAGCAACAAGAGTTTACGGGGTGTGCATAGCTCAGAGGATAGCGCTTCTGACTTTGTACATCGATAATGAGGGCTCGGTCCCCGCTGAAGTCTAGAAAAAAGAAGTCTGATGAGGAGATGTGGTGATCTCAGAAATAGCTGGTATAACCTCTACCGCTTAGACTTTGTTGCCTTTTAAATTTTTCCTAATAAAAAATCGTGGTACAAAGCTCAATAACGTTATTGAAACAAATATTAATAAGCCACAATAAAATTAAAAAATAAATAGTTTGGGATGAGTGTGCCTGAAACTATACTATGGATCTATTTCATATATGGAATCAACAATAACAACCATGCTGTCAAGTTTAAATAGCGGCAAAACAGCTGCACTTGGTAGTAGTAGGTTGAATAAGGAAATGAATTAGATACAAGAGTTAACGGGATGTGAATATGCTCAGGGGTTAGCGCTTCTGATTTTGCACATCCATAATACGGGTTCGATCCCTGCTGAAGTCTAGAAAGAAGTTACAAAAATTTTAATGTCATGTACAATCGTCTTACAGCGTACATACATATGTATGTAGTTAACTTACATCAGAGCTGTCAAGTAATGATTATAAATTGTAATGATAACCGATTTAATTAATTCTTTTTGTTAAATCTGCTAAATGATTAATTACCATTAGTTCCACCTTTAAATTAATAATTACCGATTACCATTAAAAATAATAAAAAAATAATGGTATTTTTAGCCAATTGGAAGAAAAAAATCAAAAATAATCAATAAAACTAATGGGATTAGTTTTACAATAAAATTGATTTTTTTTATTATTTTTGATTATTTATAATTATGTACATTATCGCTCGGCCGCTGTGGTGTAGTGGTAAGCTCGGCCGCTGTGGTGTAGTGGTAAGCAGTGCGCGCTTCCACTCCACAATGCCTGGGTTCAAACCCTGGTCAAAGCAACATCGCAAAAATATAGAAAAAAGGTTTTTTCTTAACAGCGGTCGTCCCTCGGCAGGCAATGGCAAACCTCCGAGTGTATTTCTGCCATGAAAAACAGCTTCTCATAAAAATACAATCGCCGTTCGGAGTCGGCGTAAAACTGTAGGTCCCTCCGCTTTGTGTGACAACATCAAGGCGCACGACACAAATCGGAGGAGAAGCTCGGCCAAACACTAACATATGTGTAAGCGCCAATCTATTATTATTATTATTATATGTACATTATATTCTGTGAACATAAATATTCTTTCTTCTTTCAATACAACTTAAACAAACTGCAAGAAACGATAATATTGTAACAAAGAACATAATACATACATATATAGATATTATATACATAATACCTTACGTAATAACGTCTACTTATACAAACAAAAATTAAACAAACATATTCACTGGAATTACAAATTAGCATTAGCTTTTAATAATACCAAGTTTTCGAAAGAAAAGTCGGTTAAGGAATGGTGCCTGGGTGTATTTATAGTTCCCGCAGAAGAAAAAATCATTTCGACAGGGCCTGATGATGTTAATGGAGTATTGAATAGTATGGCAGTCTCTTTTAATAATTCATAGAATTTCCAAACTTCTACTCCCGTCTTTGAATCACTTAAATAACTGTAAATTTGACTTTGAATAAGATTCCTTATATCATTTTTATTAGGAGAACCCTGCTCAATACTCGAGTCATCTTCATCATCGGAAATACAAAAACTCTTTTGCATTAAACACAACCACATATGTTCAAGGAATTCATTTACCATCATCATCGAAATTAAAAAAATTAGATCGTTTTGATATAACTTTACTTTTAGGATTATCAATCTTAAAAGAAAGTCTTTGATTTTGTATGTGGCTCACAAACTTAAGAATTTGACTGTATTATGTATGGGAGCGATGCAGTCTAATGTACATATATAAGGTCCATTCATTTGCAACCGAGCTACAGGTCGGTTGAAATATATGCGACCTGAAGAGTAGTATATGCATGATTTATATTTTAAATAAGTATATATATTACGCGTCGGCCGCTGTGGTGTGGTAAGCAGTGCGTGCTTTCACTCATCAGCACCTGGGTTCCAGCCCTGGTAAAAGCAACATCGCAAAAAAATATAGAAAATGGTTTTTTTTTTTTAACAGCGGTCGTCCCTCGGCAGGCAATGGCAAACCTCCGAGTGTATTTCTGCCATGAAAAACAGCTTCTCATAAAAATGACAACATCAATGCGCACGCCACATATCGGAGGAAAAGCTCGGCCAAACACTAACATATGTATAAGCGCCAATCTATTGTTATTATTATATATATTACGCAAATACCTCGCATAATTACTAATTTCTATTGTTTTTTGTGTCTAAATTTCGTTGAACTAATCACATGTTTATTGCCAGCTACCAGCAGAATTGCTTAAGTAGCTAAAAGGACATTTTACCCGAGTTGAGCGCTCTTTTGTCGCTCGCTTAAAAAAAAAAATCAGCTATTATTTCATCGACATTTGAAATGCTTCTTTTCTCAACAATTAAATGATTTATTTTAATTAAAACTGTAAAATCCCCGAAAATCGGGGTGCTCCGTGGTCTAAAAAGTCTGCATATTTATTTACTCTAAAAACCACATGCATTTCTTTTGGTAGTTAACTTTAACTTGGCAATTGGGCAAGACCAACTGTACTCAATACGCCATGCGTTAAGCAATCCTCTTGCTAGGGTCTGACCTTGAGACTTATTAATTGTTATTGCGAACGCTACAATAATTTTGAATTGGCGTCGTTTAAATATAGAAGCAAGTGTTGATTCGCTGGGCTGTTATTTTATATGGGATAGTATAATTCGAGTCATATGTTTAAAGTCGGTGCTGATCTGATGACCTTCACATTAAAGATCCGATGAGCATAACAAATTAATTATTTATTTATAAAAATCAACTTAAACTAATTTTTTCGGTATATAATGGGTTTATTCGAAAGAACATATATTAACATTACCTTGTTGATGGTTTCTGGCTCTATCGTAAGAAATGCCCAACATACGCCTTAAAGGCCTGAATAGTTAATAGATTGTTCGCATTATATCGGTCCTTCACGGCATGGCACAAAAAGTCTAAGGGCGTGAAATCGCGGCTCCGAGGGGGCCAATTGACTTCATCGAGACAGCTGATAACACAATTACCGAACTTTATCGCTCAAAATAAAAATCGAATAGACGGCAACCCTAACAAAAAATATTTTCAAACTAAAGTTTTATTAAAACTCTTTCTTTTTCCACTTATATTTTAATATTTCATTAAAATTGTGTAAAAGCTAAATAAATTAGGCTTTTCAAACAGGTGGCAACCTTCTGCGAAGCATTTGCAAACTGAAATCGTTTAAAGCTCTTTCGTCTGATACTTTGATAAATAATTCAATTACCCGAAGAATTAAATTGAATTTAATTTTTTTATCACCTGGCAACTCTCCTAAACAGTTCAGATATAAATCCTTCTCAAACCCATGAACGATTAAATCACCTCTTGTAGAATTTATTTAACTTAACTTATTTATTAACTTAATTTATTAAACTTAATAATTCATTTAAATTTAAACTCTCAACTCTCTTCCAACCATCAAACAAAATTGTGATGTTTAAACTGAAGATTTCTTAGCATTCTTTCGTTTAACACCCAATTTTAATACTGCATATAACTAAATTCGGCTTTTAATGCAGGTGGCAACCCTTTTCACAACATTTTCAAATTACTACCTTTTTAAATTCCTTTAGTCTGGACCCCTGTTGGGAAACATTTTGTAAATTTCCTATGTAATTTCCCTGTATAAAATTTAGTTTGATTTTTCAAACAGGGGCAACAC